ATCCCACTGTCCTGGGCATTCATTCATTCATTCATTCATTCATTCATTCATTCATTCATTCATTCATTCATTCATTTATTTATTTATTTATTTATTTATTTATTTGCCATTCGGGCATAGAACCTGTTGTTAATTTATTTGAATCCCACCACTGCATACGCACCTTGACTTTCTGCTGCACCTCACCTGGCAAACAGGTTCTTCTGCTCGGAGCAATGCCATCCATGCGGCACCTGGCTGTTTTCAAGGTCTTTGGTCAACGTCCACTTGTCCCATGGTTTGTATTTGGCTATTTTCTTCTTAAATTCTGATTCCCAGTTCAGCATATTGCCAAATTCCCCTTTCAGGTCCTTTCAGCCACTTTTTGAGCTGCTGTTTCCCAGCTCACAAGAAAAGGCACAAACCACTTTGTACGAGGGTCCACCTCTTGCCTTCAGCTGCGTCCCTTTTCATTTCTATTTGATTTTCTACTCTTCAGCTCCCAAACAAACGCTAGAGGAAGAGGAGGAGGAGGAATGAAAGCTGGCGATAAACGAAACCGCAAGGCTGATATGTGTTGTTTCAAACACATTTCCTCCTCTTTTTTTGCAATTGCTTCAGTTGTGTCGTCAGCATTCTTGCTCAAATGTTCGGCCTTTCCTGCCCGTGCAGGTAAGCCCAGCAAGTGTCTTTGTGTAGCTGCAGCCATTACAAAAGAAGATAAAACAGTATAAAATAATCCAGTACATTGCTCAGCTAAAAGTCTGCCAAAACCAACATTCTAGCAAACACAATTGGCTCAACTTTCAAAAAACAAAATAAAAGCAGTTCACCATCACTACAAAACCTTCTTCTTAAACTGTCACTCTAACAGTGTTTGCCAACTGTGGTTCCCCAGATATTCTTGGACTACAACTCCCTGAAGTCTTCACCATTTGCTGTGCTGGCCTGGATTTCTGGGAGTTGTAGTACAGGAATCTCTGGGGACCCAAGGTTGAGAACCACTGCTCTAAATGAAAAAACAGGTAACCTTTTGGGAAATATACATTGCTCTATCCCCCAGTAAAAAGCGTATCAGGTATGTCTCAGATCTACTGAATGCAAGACCTAACTCTTTGAACAGAGTTACGCTTGGGTTCCTATAAACTGGGCAAACAAGTAACTAGTGAATCAGGTCCTCAACTGCATCTTAGTTCCACCGGAACAACCTCTCTCCTCCGAAGGAAACTGTTTATACTGTCCCTCAACCACTGCAGAATTCACAGACTGGGACTATAAAGCTGTGGAAACTTGCCAGTTACAAGCCGTGATGGGGATGTACAATCACCAGGCTTCGAAGGAAGGGACCTCCAAAGGCCAGATGCAGGGGAAGAGGGGGATCGGGATACAAGGATCTCGTGGTCCCATGGGCTCCCAGAGGCATCTGGTGGGGCCATGGTGAGATCCAGGGAGCTGGACTAGAGGGGCCCTTGGCCTGATCCAGCAGGGCTCTTCTGAGGTTCTTATGTAAGAGGTGTTCTTAATACTTCCTTCCTGCTGGTAGCCACATCTCGGATGTCACCGAAAGTGATAAACAAGTTGTGAAATGGTCACTCTGTGGGTAGCAAATTGCTTCAACTGGAGAATCAAGTCAAAGGAGACCAGCAAAGGAGGTGACGTTACCAGGTCTATCATTCGGGTGGTTACCATTAAGGAAGTAAAAAAAATTATAGTTCATAATTATGCTGTAAAAGGCTTTACCATAACCATTGATCACCCTATCCTTTGATTCCCAACCTGCGCTTAAAGGCGAGGACTGAGATTGCAAATTGTCCATGTTGAGATGACTTATGAGATGGTCCTCGTTTAGATCGACTGGGCCATTTAAGTCTCCCATCAAAATTAGAGATGCTCCATGACCCAGTTTCTTCCTGTGCAGGAATGCTTTGAGATTCAGTTCTGGTTCCGGAAGGCAGTGTCAGCATATCAGCCCTGTTTCTTTATTGCTGCTGCTGAGTTTTTTTTAAATCTAATGTCTTTTTAGAGATCTTCCAGTGTCTCTTGCCTGTGTGATTGGTTCAAAGTGAAGAGCGGTGTGTCGACACTGGGCTTTCCACCAGAGGTGCGCAGATTTGTATTTTGGATGTCGGTCCAGAGTAACATGGCCCCTGAGGAATTCTGGGATCAGTAGTCAGAAAACATAAAAGGCCCTGTCTTATTTTCGTGGAAACACGGTACTCTCCCACCCACTTTCCACCCCAAAATCTGAATGCTCTATTTAAAAAAAGTTGCCTGTTGAAATGTTTCACTCCTCATCCAAGTAGCTTCTTGGGTCTGAGACCCCTGGATAGATCCTCAATCCTCCTCCTTGGTTTCACTTCCCCCTGGTCTGAACAGGCTCCATTACAAGGGCAAAAGACTGGGGGAAGGAGATGAGGGATAATGCCACTTCTGCAGTCCTTCTCAGCCCCTTGCCATGGGCCCTTGGCGGCCCTTAAGAGTGGTCTTTCGTTACTAACGGAGGGTGTTCCTTCCCCTTCCAGCAAACCTTTGGTTGAACGCATTAGGTGCATCTGAGTAAATGCCATGCTTTCCAGTGCAGGGGAAGGAAGGGGGGAAGGGAGGAGATGGAGGGAAGAACTTTGCCTGCACCCTGGAGGCCAAGCCGTAGCTGATGGCCCTGAGCTCCATCTTCCCTTCCCAGGCCAGAGCAATAGATCTCCCCACTTTCCATGGTTTCCCCCTCCTTCCTCATTTGGCCTGGCATGAAGAGGAGACCAAGAGACAGTGGGTGATCAGCATCAGCCAAATAACGTGGGAAGGACAAGCTAATCACATTTTTTTAGTTGAAACAACTTAAATAACAAATTTTAATTTTACAAGGCTATTTACTACAATTACATTAAAAATGCTGTTATTACAAATGGGTACCATTATAAAAGCAACAGAACATGTTTCATAAAGGAAGAGGCAGAGTTACTTAGAAAACAAAGCCCCCCAAAAAAGTTTTTTTGCACGTTTCAGGAGGCGGGGAGCAGCGGTGGTCATGCCTCCCCACTGCCTGACTTAACCTGAAGAGATGGACGGCAGGGGTGGGGGGGTGTTACTTAATCCGTCCATGTGTGTTTCAGCCCTATGGCATGGCATCAGGGCAGGGAGGGGGATTAACAGATTACAGCCATCAAAGAAACCCCTTTTAACCAAATATGCAACTGTGCAACTTCCATCTGGGAGGGTGGGGGAATCAAGTCACAGAGCCTTTTGGAAAGGTCTCCGGGCAGGAATGGAAAAGAAAACCAATGGGGGGGGCAGCTGCAGGGGTGTGTGTGAGAGACCTGCAGCAAGAGCAAAAAGGAGAATTCTCTGATCTCTTTAACACAAATGCTATATATTTATCTACAAGCTTAAAACTACAGTAGACAAACTCATCCAGCTGGGGGTGAAGTTATCAGCACAATCGTCCTAAACTCTCTCCACTAAAAAGAAAATATATATATATTGTAAAAAGAAGTGCAATCTCTTAACATTTCCTATTTGAAGACCGTGAGAAGAGGAGAGGATCCTCATTTCAAGGCCGCCCTTGTGCCACTTTCTAACCCAACATTTGCTTGCAGCATATTTTGCAGCAGAATCTGAGTCCCCTCCGCTCCCCAAGATTTGCACGGGGTCCCCTTCTCCAAGTCCCCTCTCCGAGGGTCTGCGCCTTGAAGGTTGGTGGGGACAAACACACACACACACACACACACACACACACACACACACAGAGGCTCCCCACCTTCGAGAAGGCCAGAAGGGGGGGCAGGAACAGCACAACAGTTACAGCCCCCCTCCCCAAAGCAACAGGGCGTGGTCCCTCATACACAGGCCACTGTCCAGAATCCAGGCTGTCCGCCACCCACCATTTCTCTGAATGACGTGGGGCGGGGGGGGAGAGGTTCTTCTCCCCTCCCTTTGCAGACTGACAGGGTAGGCCCACATTTCCTACACA